AATCTGTACTGGTGCCTGGTGCTATTCCTCCTCAGATGTAGGACTCTACACTTGTCTTTATTGAACTTCATGAGGTTTGCTTTCACCCATCTCTCTAGCTTGTCTAGATCTCATTGGATAGCAGCACAGCCTTCTGGTGCATCAGCCACCCCTCCTAGTTTTGTATCATCAGTGAACTTGCTGAGGGTACACTCTATCCCCTCATCGAGGTGGCTGATGGAGATATTGAACAAAACTGGACCCAGCACTGATCCCTGGAGAACACCACTGGCCACAGGCCTCCAACTTGACTCTGTGCTAGTGATCACAAACCTCTGAACTCTATTGCTGAGCCAGTTAACAATCCACCTCACAGTCCAATCATCTATCCCTCATTTCCTAAGTTTTCCTGCGAGGATGTTATGGGAGACAGTATCAAAAACCTTCCTGAAGTCAAGGTATATGACATCCACTGCTTTTCATCAACCCGTTTGGTCACACCATCATAGAAGGATATTAGATTAGTCAAGTAGGATTTTCCCTTGGTAAATCCATGCTGACTACTCCCGATAACGTTCTTTTCTTCAATTTGGCTAGAAATGGCCTGCAGAAGGAGCTGCTCCATCACCTTTCGAGGGTTGGAGGTGTGGCTGACTGGTCTATAGTTGCCTGGGTCCTCCTTCTTGCCCTTTTGGAAGACTGGAGTGACATTGGCTTTCTTCCAGACTCCATTGTTTTTCAAAAATGATGGAAAGAGGCACAGCAACAACATCAGCCAGCTGTCTCAGCATATGTAGATGCAACCAATCAGGACCCATGGATTTGTGTGTTTGCAGTTTCTCCAAGAGGTCTCTAGCCCAATCCTCACTGAGCAGAGGGGAGTCTTCCTCGCTCCAGTTTTGCTCCCTTACTTCCAGTGACTGGAATTCCTGAGGGCTGGTCTTAGGAGTAAAGACTGAGGCAAAGACGGTATTCAGCAGTTCTGCTGTGGGATATTTAGAGGACAGCGGACATGTTTTGAACAATCCAGACAGCCTGTTTTTAGACAAGTTTTAGGAATCGCTTGAACAAGTTTGTGAAGGACATTGTGAAGGTCACTTGCGGTGGGAAATATGCTGAAGCAAACAAAAAGAAGGAGCTGGACTGGTGTACGCAACTGAAAACAGAAACAAATTCAGGCTGCAGGTGGGGAGAAACAGGAGTGTGATCAGCAGCGAAGAGCGAATCAGCAAAAGGAAAACAGCACATGAACAGGAGGATGGACTGCATGTGCTTGTTGTTAATAGCCAATCAATATAGAGCATTTAGAAAACAAGGACGTTGTGAATTGTATATTAACAGGGTTTGTGCGTTAATAAAGTGGCATTTGCTTGATCACATCGATCGTCAGCAGTGTCCCTGACTTCCACGTCATCAGTTCTGCCATCTCTGCATCCTTTGTTACCATATCTCCCACCTCATTTAGCAGTAGACCCACTTTTTCCCTACTTTTCCTTTTCCCATTGATGTATTTGAAAAATTTCTTCTTGTTATCTTTCACCTCCCTAGCCAGACTAAATTCCAAGAGAGCCTTGCCTTTTTTGTTGAGTCTTCACATACTCTGGTAGCATTTCTATAATTCTCCCAGTTAACCAGACCCTTTTTCTGCATAATGTAAATTTTCCTCTTCCATTTGAGTTTTTCCAGGAGCTCCTTGCTTTTCCATGCGGGTCTCCTGCCTCCTTTAGTTGACTTTTTTTTTTAAGGGAATACATTTCTCTTGTGCTTAGTGGAGGTGGAGATTGAATATTGACCAGATATTCCAGCTACTTTCACAATTTACAATTGTAGTAAATGGTTTTGTGGCTGTTGTACTTGCTACCCTGTGCAAATAACTATGCAAAGCACTTTATCCTCTTGCTTTCTACATTCCCTTGACAATCTGACAGTCACTCCACTGAGGAAGGCACATGCTTTTCCATATCGCCACTTGGCTTCAGTAAGAATGCTTGGTCCTCAGAAAAATGTGTAGAGGGACATGAAAACCTGGTATCCCAGGTCTTCAGGTTCCTTTGCCTGTGAAAAAGAATCTAGAAATGACTGGGTTTCTGTGCTCACTTTTTCTAAGCATCTACTCACCAGCTGATTTACACAGCGGTCCCCAGGACGTTCGGTGTGTAGCGATGGTTTCACCAGTCTTCAGGGATCGAAACATGTGGCATCTCTGCAACAATCAAGTCAAGCTCCAACAAGTAATTCAGCTTACTAATTAAAAATACCAAACAACCTTCTGATGAGTATGTGAAAGCCCAGCGCTCTTCTCACTCATTGGGCTTTTTGTTTCTTAATGCTATGCTTTGTTAAACTGAAACAATTACCAAGTAGAAGTTCAAAAGAAATGGTATTAGGGAAAAAGGTAAAAAATCTGTAATTAGTCACAGTGGAAAACCCTGTTGTGAACAGATATTTCACACAGACATTCTCTTTCTTTAAATTAACTTTCCATTTGTTTTACAGAAACCCCATGGGAGAATAAACTTCTATATGCCAGGGTTTTGCATACATTTTTTTTTTGATGTTTCTACTGTCTGTGGCAGGCACAGCGCATCCTACAACCAACACCAGCAAAAGCAGGGGCAGCTTTCCACCCCTGCCAAGCTGTGAGACATTTTGAAGGAACACACAGCTCTTCAGTGGCATGTGAACTACTGATCTGGGAGCTACAAGTCTGAAAACCCTGCCCTATGAAATGTCAGGGGTTAGCTGCCTTAGCTTTATATGAGCAGCACTTGCAAAAAAGCACAGCACGCTCCTCTTCTGCACATTTCCTCAGTAGCACCATTCTGTTTGTTTACTAGCTTTTTGTTTTAAGTCGCAACCTAAAGGTCTCTGATGGGAACCGGAGCCTACTGAGGTTATTCAAAAGATACTGCGGCTCTCCTGGAAGCACACATAAAACCAGAGAAACTGCAGTAACCTACTATAACCAGCAAAAGAAAGCAGGGGAGTGCAAAGGTGTCTTACCAGCTTGTCTACACAAGAACATCTCACATGTTACCAGTTACCATTGTCACCAGCCTGGTAACACTGAAAAACCTCTACAATTCACTATCAGCAACAGTGTCTTTAGCTGGGTCAGCCCCCAGAAAAATGCCCATGTAGCTGACACTTTGGCCTACCCTGGAATAGCTTTCCCAGCTCGGTGGATCCATTAGAGAATTCTATTACATAGCTGCTCCCTGATGCCAATGATTTTTTAGTTTCCACATGGCCATGGAGCAGCCACATTCCGCCAAACATATGCGTGGGGGTGGCACATCGCTCCTCTTCCTGCTCGAAGTCATGTTTCTTACTCATTTCTTACTATGTTGCTCCTCAGCCTTTTTTTCTACTCTAAGCTTTAGTGCACTTTACTCTCTTCCACCAATAAAACAAAGGAAAAAAAAAAGAAGAAAAAAGCCAAGAAATAATATAAGATTCAACTCTCAAATCTGTGAGCAAAGAGCTGAAGTAAATCTCCCCTGAAGCAAGTCAGTATTCTCCAGAGTAGCAGACAGATCAGAGGATAAGATTGCAGAGCCTGGGCACTTTCCTAGCCACCTCACATTATTTCCAAACCCACTCTTTTCTTCCAATTTTTCTTGACTTTTTAACTTCCTACATCTCCTCCTCCTTTCTTTGTAAAAGCTGTTGTCTTCCTGTGTGGATGTGCCTAGTACTTGTCTTCTCTGCATAACATTTTAATCTCTAAGATACTGGATTCACTAACTTTTCATAGGAGGTAAATTTTACATGGGAGAAAGCACAACATATCTCAAAAATATATATGAAAAATATAGAAATTAATAATACAGAATATATGAAAGAAGAGGACCTCACTGATTAACACTGCTGTGCCTTGCTTACTGCAGATAATCTCAATCAAACCTCATCCTGGGCTAGCAGAATTACCCCAGCACAGATGCCTGTAATTCAGATCAAAGCCAGTCCTTTAGTTAACCATGGTCCTAAACTCTAATCTCTGCAGCTAAAGCCTGCTCTAACAGAAAACCCAGCAGCCTCTAGCAAAGCAACTATTCGATTCCTTACAGCAGACATGTCAGCCCACACAGTCCCTGACTTGACCATCTGTCCTGGGTTTAGCTTAAAAAAAAATAACAGTCCTGTTTAGTGATTTTTACTTTTCAGTTTAGTCTCTTCTGAGAGGCTGCGCTTTCTGAAGTGCAGACAGTGTGTGCTACTGGCAGTGGTAACACCTGATGTTCACAGTTACTGCCTGGGACTGGGATGCAGAAAGGCTCTGGCTGATACTTATTCCTACAGTGACCAAGGCCACTGCCGGCTTTTGTGTGCCACCCTGGTGGTGCCAGGTAGTAAGAGGGGTCACAAGGAAGTAAAAGGTTGCACCTCGGGGGAGTAATAGACAGGACAGGTGACCAACGAGAGTATTGCATCCCATATACATCATATTTAGTCGAAATTGAGTGATCACAAGAGTTTCTGCTCTCTTCTGCAATGGCCGGTGTTCAGAGAGGACTCCATCTGACCTCCTGCTTTTGATCTGGATCCTGAGTTCCCGAATCCAGCTCCCTGTATCCAGTTCCCGCTGCCGCTGAGCCTGGGGCTGCCCCAGTGCCTCCTGCTCTGCAGCATCAGTGGGGACTGATACCGGGGCAGGGAGTCAGGTTTGATATTGGGCTACTATCTATAGTTGTATATAGCTCTTTACTTTTATCCTTCCACTATTATTTCTCTTATTGTTTCATTAAAGCTGTTCTAGTTTTATTTTATTTTCTAACTCAAAAGTCTCTCTGCTTCATTCCCTTTTCCTTCCCATTTTGGGGGGGGGGGGAAGAGGGGATTAGAGAGTGTCTGTCCGGGTTAGTGGCTGGCCCAGCCCTAACCCACAACACCATCCTTATTCCCCTGCTTTTCATCCACCACCACATCTTTCTTCAGCTGTACAGGAGACATACAGGGAATTCAGGGAGGTGCAGCATCTCCTCCAGAGGAATCCATGGGCTAGGGATTGCTGAAGCACTGACTTTTAACACAAAAATACAGCTGTGAAAACTAGAGCCTTCTTTACATCTGTCAGTCATGTTTCCTGTCCCTGCATTTGTTGTTTTTTTTTCTTTAAGCTGGAGGAAATTTATACTTTGAGAAAGGAAACAAATATCTTCTACTAGCCATTTTTAATCTTTTAGGAAGAGACCATTTGCTTTATAATGGTCTTAAAGTGAGTTATTTAGAGCTAGAGGACAGTGTTAAACAATAGAGAAGCACCAAACTGCTAATGAAAACATCCTTGATAGAAAAAGAGCCAGGAATGCTGGCAGAGTAAGAGGAGAATTCATGTGTGTCTGCTATCTATATATAAGAAAAGAAGCCATCAGCAAAACCTTTGTGGTTTTTTTTCTAATTTCTATGGTAGCAACACATTTTTAGATGAAGCATCGTGTATCACTTACTTAGAAGTTAAAAGAAACAAAGCAATGCTTTGGAGCACAGACAATTAGAAGCTGAAGTTGTTATCAGACCATTGCCTGGTTTATTGCTTTTAAAAGCAATAGTGCTTTAAAAAGCCCTGATAATGTCTATTAGAGGCACAGCCCCAGAAACTTAATGCTGTTGAGCATCCTTTCCTCATGCCTAAACTCTCACCCAGAGAAGCAAATCTCTAAGGGGAAAAAAGGACAGAAAAACATCCCAGAACAATTTACTCAGACTTTCTTGCTGACACTGCCAATATGGGTGCTTGTTTATTTGTGACATGTCCATCTGAGCTGACATGTTTCTGAACAGCCTATCTCCTTGTAACTTCTGTTCATTGCCTTCTAGTTACCCCTATGCAGAGATGAAAGGTTCAGCTGTCAGGTTCCCCAACTTTGATTTCTCCATTTCTGTGCAAGCTTCATGTTTTTAACTACGGGGATGAGAAACAGAAAGAAAGGTGGACAATTCCATATGGTTGTAGTTCTTCCCCACTCCTCTCAGCTCTCAGGAGAGAATGAAGGAAAAGTTCAAGAGCTATTTTAAACTCTGTTTGGAAACATTACTCCTTCAATTCCATAGCAGAACTGCATATGGCACATGAGAGAAACACAGCACACCGGAACAAAGCCCTTACCGTCCTGCAGGTGCTTCCTGGCGTCTCCATGCAAATACGAATTTTGCAGTGTAAGTAAACCACAGAATTGTTGACAAAGGAAAAAATTTTCATCTTAAACTGTGCTTTGCTTGAATTCCCATTCTCTAGCAGTGTGGTATATGTATTTGGGATGGGACAGCTGAAAAAGAAGAGAAAAATCATGCACAACAGCTAAGGCTGTGGAAGACATAGCTCAAGTTGTAAGGCTCCTTTAGAAAGCTGGAGCTAGACCCACCATGGAGCAGTGCAGGGATGATAAGGGGATATTTGCTGTTTTTTTCTCACAGTATCCAAAAAAACCAGGAGTTTCAAGAAGTGGTTTTGGAGAGTTGGAAAAGAAGGGCAAGAGTGTCTGAAAGAAGGATTTAAACTTAGCCTCACCAAACACGAAGTGAAAACATCATATTAAAAGGAATAGCTTTTGTTACTGAGCAAAAGGACTGTCCTGTATTTTAAGATGGTGAGTAAGCCCAAGGAATATGACACTGGAGTGAGATCAGGGATCCAGACAGGAAGAAACCTCCTCTTTTACCACAGGCTGCGTTAATACTGTCTGTGAATCACAATGCATAGGAATCAACTAGCTTACACCTTCATTGATGAGAGTCACATGAGCTCTTGGTAATATCTGAACCACAGAGAAATAGATAAAGCACACACTTTTCAATGTTCTTTCACTACTGACTGCCAAAACCATCCATTTCTTCAGGTTAAAAGTACAATTCCTTTGCAAAACTATGGGGAAGATAACCAAACTCAAACAACCACCACATGGACCTTTGAAAACATTTTCTTTTCATGCCTACCTTCCTTGTTCAAAGAAAGTATGGCCCGTCAGAATGGTAAGGTGCTGTGTATACGAATGATGAGAACACATGTAAAAGGTGTTTAAAATATAACACATTCTTAATCAGCACCACTGGGGGTATGGGATCATGCTATTTGCAAGGGGCATTGCTGTACCTGTTGCTGATAAAAGCAAATGAGAGGGGGTCCACTGAATTGTTAGTTGGAGTTGCCCAGCAGTCAGTGAGGACCACCTTGAGCTTGCTGTCTGCTCTCTGGATCCCCACTTCAATCAGTACATCGTCACTGGCAGAGACACTGAAATTTTTTGGTATTGGGGAGTTTCCAATAAACAACTGCATTTCTGTTCTGAAGCGTCCAGATCCGTGCAAATCCTCAAAGATGGTGTAAAGTCTGAAATAACAATTAACTTCCTTTAAAGATCACAAATTTGACCACGTCTTTCTATAAATCAGTGCCTGTTCCTCTATCCTTTGAGTATTTAAGGAGCGCAGAGTTATGTGCAGTCCAGCATATTAGGATACTGGTGAAGAGGAAAGGGTAAAAATGCATCGAGTTTTTAGTTGGAAAGGTAGGGTGCATGGAAGCACATGCGGGAAAATCCAAAGAGTGGAATGTCTTGGCAATATAAATAGAGCAGAGGGATATTTGAGTAGAGTTGAAGGGGAACAAGACTGTGAGCTGTTTTAAGTTCAAAATAAAGAGACTAAAAGATTAGTGAAGAAGAGCCGAAAATATTAAGAAGGTACAAAGATGAGCAGTGAGGTACATGAGAAAATTATAGAGCTTAGAGTGAAGGGGCCTGACAGAGACTTTGCAGTGAGATAGAAAGGAAAATACAATGTCTGGAGGGTTTGGAAACAGAAAGTGAATTTCATGGTGATAGTTTACATGTGATACTAGGCAAGAGAGTGGAGGTGCACTCATATGAAGAGACAGCATTCGCCGTCAGAGCAAAGCTTGTGCTGCCACCTTTTCTGTGAGTGTGGGTTTGATTTTCTATGAACAGTGAATTTGATTCCATCTTAACTGAAGATGGGCCCTTCCATATAAAAAAGTACTTGGATTACATATCTTTTTTTTCATGTTGATGAAATAATGATTTGTAGGCATTGAAAAATACCATCCTCAGTACCCATGTAGCAGTCTGCATGCCTATATCAGTCGAAAAGGTACATCGTTATGTTCCAAAAGCAGGAAAAAAACTGTTATTGCTTCACATGATTGCCCAGGAAGGCAAAGAGAAGTCAGGAATTCTGGCTCCTGAACTTGCACTAGTATGTTCCAAAGGTTTATTTTCATCTATGTCTGAGCCAGGCAATGGCCAAGCTTATTGACTCTTGGATCTATTGACACTTCAGGAGTAAGAAAAAAGCCCATAGCAAGGATCACCTGAGCACAGGATTCAAATGGTGGCAGATTACTTGGCATAGCAAGTACTGTCACTGGATACAGCTCAGGTCCCTGGGGATTTTTCCAATGCAGCAACACTCAGCCACACAACAGCATTTCAAAGCAGAGAGTGTTGTTACTTACCCTTCTGCAGTGTATCCAGAGGAAGTCAAGAGATCGTTTTGAAACACACAGTGAATGGGACTGGCAACTTTTAAGTGGTGGATTATATCCTGAGCAGAAACATCATTCCGAAGGATGGTTTTCACTACAGTATTAGTCATATTCTGCAACACAGAAAGAAGAAAGAGCAACTTGTTCTTATCAGTGTTACTACAGGTATAGCAGAGCCACAACCTACCAGCCTCAAGTGCTCAGGTATTCTCAATTGTTCTGTCCGCAGAAATCAAACAGATTAAACCACTAGCATCCTAGTGGCTGTACAGTGAGACAATGAAAATCCGCCAGCCTTCCTCAGACTGGAATGATCATTGCTCCACGAGGGAATTTCTGCACCTTTGCACGGCCCAAGCATAGCCTTTGGTTTGGGACCCAAAGAGATAGCCATCACTTTGTCCCCACTACTGGTAGCAGTTGGAGTATTTGTCTAAATAGGATGATGAAACTGCTTTTAAGAAAAGAGAAGCTTCTGACAGCTGCAAAAGGCACCCAGGTAGGCATGGAAAGTGACTCTCAATTTGTAGAGGGCCTTGAATTTTGCTACCTGACCTCAGAGAATCCCCTTCTCTTTCTTGCTTGCCTCCCACCCCAAACATCCCATTTCCATCACAGGAAGCAGGTTTCTTTCTCCAAAGAAATTTCTCTGTCTAACATTTCACCAACTAACAGACTATAATATACTCCTAGCTAAGGATCGGCCATTGCCCCTCCTCTCACCCCTCATAGAGACAAAAAAATGCTCTGGAGTTTCTTTACATTCACCAGCTCAAGGGACTTACAGTCTCAACCTCAGTGCCACAGTCGCTCCAGCCTGCCTCCAGCACTACGTGAGTCCCGTTACTGATGCTCACATTGCAGTGAGGCTCTCCCAGGTACAGGGAGGTTTCTGGGATGGATTCCCGCTGTAAAAAGCTCTTCTGGACAGCAAGGATGATCTTCTCAATTTCACAAAACACTGTCACTGCATCTTTAATGGAAACTTCCTGGGCAGGTTTAAAGAGGGGGACAGGAGACGATTGAGGAGAAACTTTGGGAGTTGACACAGGAACGGTGGTGAGAGAAGGCAGCACCACACTGGAGAACGTGGTGTCCTCCAGAGCCTTGTGCTCAGTAGTAGAGAAGCTCAGTGAAGCAGGGGAAGAAACATGAGCTGAAGTTTGCAAAGGTGTCACAGGTAAAAGCGTGCTGTGTACAGGTTTCTTATCCGTCAGTGTTAGGTTCTGGTTGATAGGAAATGCTGAAGGGTGTCAAAAATAAAGATACTCTTGTCATTTACATAATGATTTCATAAGGTAAAAGCAAATTCCTAGCAGGAAATTCAGTTACAAGCAGGAAACCCGGTGCTTTTTTTTAATTATTTTTTTAACCTGTTATATTTACTGCCAGTTCTGTGGCATTTCTTAAGAAAGAGCCCAAGAGATACATGAAAGTGCTTGTGAATAAAGCCTAAGTGCTTTATTTCCTGAGAACTGTGATAATTAGTGTGCTCAAGTAAAACACATATACACAGCTTCTGGAAGATAAGTGCTTGCAAGAGATCCCAACTCTAAGTTGCTCATGAAGTGTGCCTCTGATTTTGCCTTGTATTGTAGGAAACTGCACAAATCTGGATGTGAGGTATAAACAGGAGCAGAGTTTGTTAAAAAATCTGGCCCCATTTGTGATCAGCTAATACCCAAAAGATGTGACCCTGAGCACTTTGGAAAACCCATTTGGAGGGAAGTGCAGGACAAACCTCATGTAGCAGGCCCACATTGCACGTATGGGTCCTGAGAGACACAGTGGGGCGTTGAACAAACGTGTTAGTAGCAATCTTTAATGGTTTCAGGGAGAAATCAAGCAGGGGAAAAGGAGAAGCACAGATTGAGATCAATGTGTATGCCAAACCTCTGACATACAGTAAAGGCTCTGGGGCTGCCTGATGGCTTCTTGCTGGTAGAAACAATCTAAATATTCAACTAACACTGACCTAGAAAGCTCCAAGATAATAAACTCCATTCACAGTGAAACACAAGGATGTGTCTCATTGCACAAAAATTCTCTTAAGCAATTTTAATGAGTTGTACGTACCAATAGCATCTACTTCTCAAACAATATACAAAATCTGTACATATATATATATATAAAACTCCCCATCTTGCAGATATATTCCAGATAAAAAAGTTGCTGATTTGAACATAAGAGGAAGAAAAAGAAAAGACTGAACTCTTTCAGAGCTGAATTTCCCAAAAGCTCATTACCATAAAGCTAAATATCTTCATTAAACAAAACTGAGCAAAGGTTGGTATCACTTGAAAAATCCTTGTGACTTCACCAAAGAGTAGTTTATCACTGTGGTTACAAAACCAAATATAGGTTACTGAAGAAGTCTAAAGGAATTTAGGAGCTTAAAGATCCATCATACGTCAGCTAGCAAATGATTTAAGGGAAGAGAGAAGCTAGATGAATTAACTCACACAGAAAAGCAGTTTGTAATACCAACATGTCATCCCTGCTGCCATACAGAGGTCACACGACATACCTAGTGCTTCCTGTTCCATTCTCTATCACCTCTATCCTCTCCACTACTGCAAATGAAAATAACTAACAATCTTGATAATCCTATCTAAGGCTAATGGCACATATGAAAACAGAACTGTTACAAGAACCTTACAAAGACAACATTAAATATTAATATATTAAACTCTTATGGCAAGGTATTAGTCAGAAATACTTAAAGTCTGCTGTGAGACTTTTCCCATTGGGAACCAGCTGATAACAATGAACTACATTAATCCCTGGCAAAATACCAAGATTTGTTGTAAGTATGACCATGATCCTGTGAAGATCAGATCACTAAGCATTCAGTTAGCCAATAGATAATGAAAGAAATATATTTTTTTGCCTTCACAGCTTCTTCCAGGCATTTCTGGATGCTTGTCAGCAAATCCTTCATTGCAGCTGCACTGGTAGAACCCCAGTGTGTTGTGACATGATGCATCCGGGGAGCAGTCATCTTCTTCACTTTTGCACTCATCGTAATCTTTTGGGTATATTTAAGCAAAAGGAAAAGGTAGAGAATGTATAAATTAAAATGTGATGGTTATGATGCTTTGAGCACGGTTTTATCATCATGATATCATGGTGGGGTTATATCCCCCAGGTGTGACACTCTACTGTAAGTGGCAGGCAACTGCTGGGTCTAGAAGAGGTGGGATACTGGAAGCAAGGCACTGACAAAACCCTCCAGGAGCTGTGCTACCAGTGATGCTCAGCAGATACTTGCTGAAATGCAGACACCTTACTGCAGAGCTTCCATCCTCTGAAACTGATCACCAGCCCAAAGGGGGACACTTCTAACTCTGGGGGCTTCCTCAGCTGCCTCCCCCATTTCACACTCATAAGGAGATGGTTAGTAAACGCCCAGCATGAGTGAAGCAGGAGGGCTGTATGGCTGCTCGAAGTTGCAGTCTAGTTGCTTTCTTAATTTTTACCTGGCCAAAGTTTTCACTTCTGAAAGGAAAGATATGCTTTACTTCCCTTTCTCTTCCCAAGGTCTTACTTATTAACGGGATATGTAACTTTCCAAATTCACAGCTGTGAGGGTAAAAGGCAAAGAGAATGTAAAGGGCAGAATGAACACGTTTCTGAAGTTATTTTGTGTGAGATTCTAACTGACAGCTTCTAACATCCTTGGGACAAATGTGTCACCTTAAGGATATAGAATTTGGTATTTTTTTTCAGAGATGACATATTGATTTGTAAAACAGAATTCAAGAGCAGTTGATCAGAAGACTAAAGTTTCTTATTACATACTTGAATTACATATAAAGGAAAATAAGTTGTACTATCAGCCATTGTGCTGGTCTTGGTAAATTGTGGACTTTCATCTGAACTCCAGACCCACAGGTGTGTGAGGAAAACACATTCCATTGCAGAAGAATTCACATGTTCATTTATTTGTATCTTGGACTTTCTTTCTCATGCAAAATTATCAGTGCAAGCAGAAAGTACCATAAGTCAAAACTATCTTAAACAGAGCTAGTTATGTCTGTGTGCACGCACATGTGTCTGTGTACCCGTTTGACTGGTAGCTTATAAAATCCTTAATTCGTAACCACTGTTCACAACATCTCTGTTTATTTTTCTCTAAAAATAAAATGCTAGCTACATACATAAAGATAAGCTGATTTTGTCCTTTTGGATCCAGAGTCCTTTTGGATCAGCTTCTTATTTCATCTTTTGATGTTCTCTGAAAAATCTTATTGGATGCATAAGCAGGAGCAATATAAAGAGAGAGAATGGCTTTCTATCCATCTGTTATGCAGATACAGTCACTTTATAAAATATAGATTAATATAGGCTTTTTCATATTTCTAGTTCTAAGGAACTACTGGGATACAAGCTTATACTTACCATTTATGGAAAGATTGCTCTTGGCAACTGTGAAATAGGAGCTGTGTTCAAAGACATCATGAAAAGTGGTGATGATGTAGTAGATATCAACATCTTCTGCAATCAGTAAATGGAAATTAACCACTATACTCCCACTAGTAATACCCGTTATCAACACTTTAATCAGACCAGCATCCATTTGCTGACGAATCTCAAGGGGCGTAGATCGACGTACCTGGAATATAAAGAAAAAGAATGTGGAGATGGACAAATGGAATGAATTAAATTACAGGTTTGCACATTGCATAAAAGAACATTGCAATTCAAAATATATATGGAAGCAACAGAAAATTGATTTAGCTTTACAATATTTCCATCCCCAGTTTTCTCATTATGGGCATCTGTCGTCAGGGAGAGCTCAAGCAGACCATCAACCAGCAGGTTTAGATTTTGATTAGGGCTAGAGTTAGTGTTCAGAGAGCCACAAAGCCTACAGCTCCAGGGACTCTGGGGCTGAATAAAGAACACCAAGGTCTGCATGGCACTGCACTAACATTGCTCCATCCACACCTTTCTCATCCGGGCCACCCATGCTGAATGGGATCTCAACCTCAGCCCTTTGCTATTTTGCCTATTTTTATTAGGGCTAGGGCTAGCACTTCACTGCCACATGCAGGAGAGTTGAGCTCTTCTTTAGGCCCCCTCTTTAGGGTACACCCCTCACTACCTTCCCTAGCACAAATTTCCAGAGAATTACGAGGGTGGGTAGTGGCTACAATCTGGTCACCTCCCACCTCTTGTTCTTCTACACATCTTCTCCTGGAAATATCTGGAGCATCAAGGGTTGGATTTCAGCTGTGAGTTTAAGGCACAGCTTATGTCGGTGGTGTGATGCTCAGGGATGCAGGCAGGGACTCCTCCCAGGGAAGAGGCAAGGAAGTGTCAGCGATGGGAGTCAATGGGAGAATCAGCTTCATTTTTTACACCCATGCACAGAGCTTGTGCACTCTGTGCTGGTTTCTCTCAGGTAATCACAGTTTTTGCACAGCTGTGTGCCAAGCCAGACTTACCTGCTGGCTGTGTGTTTTCCAGTCCTGACTTACTTGCCTGCTACATCTTATTCAGCCCTGCAGATGGCCCCAGATTTTGCAGGCATGCTACAGCTCTCTTCTGAGTCGTCATAGCTGATGGTTATTGCAGGCACTTGGTGACAAGGCAACACTGCATGGAGCAAACCCTCTGCGTGCACCTGGAAAGGGCTCCTATACACCTGGAAGCCCCACACAGCAATCCTTGCGGTGCCCCATGGGGCACACAGGCAGAGCCAGAACAGTGGAAAGAGCTACCTTCTCCACAAAAGCCTGGGTGGACCATAGGCTGTCCTTGTAAGCCCCAAAATGTCCCGTTTCACCAAGCCAGGGTGCTCTTGGGCCCCTTCCCTCTCTCTGATGTTTCACAAGCATGTACTGCAAAATTGGAGGTCAACCCTAAGTTTTCGTCTTTTATAGTTTTTTGTATGGACACTTCAGGTTAGATATTAGGAAGAATTCCTATACTGAGAGGGTTGTCAGCCATTGGAACAGGCTGCCCAGGGAGGGAGTTGAGTCACTGTCCCTGGAGGTGTTTAAGAGATGGGTGGATGTTGCGCTGGGGGGAATTGTTTAGTAGGTTGAGAGGGTTGGAAAAAGGCTGGGCTCGATGGTCTTCTAGGTCTCTTCCAGCTGATACGATTCTATGATTCTATTGAACATTAAATACGAGCACCTGTGACATCTTCCTAGGTAATCCCCAATTTCATCTGTATTCCCTTTTCACCTGTCCTGAAGGTTTTATCATTGTTTCTTCTTACTTAAGGCTTGGGATTTTTTTTCTTCTGCTTGGTTTTTTGTGGGGTTTTTGGCTGGTTTTATCTGCCCTTATTTATTTTTTTCCTCACAAAGCAGGACTCAGCTTGAAAAATGTCAGGGGACATGCACGATATTCTTACTTAGCCACTAGGTGACACTACAAAACTCTTTATCCAGAGGGCTACATGATTTCACAACAGATACCACACCCTAATCAAAATAATGGTTGATGAGGTGGGACTAGAAAAAAAGGAAAAGAGAGAACTTTTTAGAAAGAAATATTCAACAGCTAGTATCCTTGAGTACGAGGGGTTTTTTACTAGACAAATAAATTATCTTGAGATCTATCATTATATCTATGATTTCTGTAGCACACGAAAGAAACATCTGCAATGCCATCAGTATGCCAGAAGAAGAGCCACAGGAAAGGGAAAGAACATTAGCAAAAATTAACACCACCCATCTGTAGGTCCCAGGGAAAATGTTCGCAGCTCACTGGAGCTGTTGTGGGTACCTGCATGGGAGGCTGTGTTGCTGGCAGAGCAGAGAATGCACCAGCAGTCTGGAAACTGGAAATAAGTAAAAGGCACGTTAATTTGAACAGAACACTGTATGAAGTCTGGTTTTTGACTCAAAGGAAAAAAAAGAAAGGAAAAAAACCCCAAACTCCTCACTGTCCATGCTCTGACTTGACCTCCAGAGGGAAGGTACTAGAGCATGCGTCTGCCCAGCCACCATCACCTGCAGCTCTCGTGATGTTCCAAATAGGGGATAAACTGAAATTAACAAAAGGGTTGACATTACACTGGAATAAGGAAACTGCCTTAATTCCTGTATCAACGCTGATTCCGCATTAAGACAGCTTTAACTGCAATCATTTGAAGTGCACTAAGCTATGTCAAACAAAGGCTATGTAATTTCCAAATGAGAAGTCACCTTGATAAGGCACTATCATGTATTAGTTTCACGCTTTTGTCAGTTAAGTTTAAGACACCCAAATTACTAAGCTACATCAAACAAAGGCTATGTCATTTCCAAATGAGAAGTCATCTTGATAAGGCACTATCATTTATTAGTTTCACACTTTTGTCAGTTAAGTTTAAGACACCCAAATTCAAAACAATTTTTCCCACTTTGGAATTTAATGCATTCCAGTGAATACATTATAAACTCAAACCTTTTGTTTTCCTATTTCATTTTCTTGAGGACACATCAAACAAAGGCTATGTCATTTCCAAATGAGAAGTCATCTTGATAAGGCACTATCATTTATTAGTTTCACACTTTTGTCAGTTAAGTTTAAGACACCCAAATTCAAAACAATTTTTCCCACTTTGGAATTTAATGCATTCCAGTGAATACATTATAAACTCAAACCTTTTGTTTTCCTATTTCATTTTCTTGAGGACAAGCCCTAGCTTCCATGATATTTTTGCCTGTTGCAAAAGACACACCGAGCAAAGCCAAAAAAGGCTAAAATACTCTCTCACCCTTAGCTATGCTGCTTTTCAGTTGCATTGCAAGAAGGATGGTGGAACTAGACTGGGCAATGACAGTGCAAGTTGTCACATCAAGTTTGTACCTCATTTTCATCTACGCATTACTCAAAGAACAGTTTCCATTTGCTGTGCTGCCAATTTTCACATCAAGTTTGTACCTCATTTTCATCTGCGCATTACTCGAAGAACAGTTTCCATTTGCTGTGCTGCCAATTCAACCACATGGCATTTAAGTGCTGAGGCAGCTCTATGCTAAAGATCATTACACACATCAGGATTAATAAATCGTCTGAATTGTAGATGGTGACTCCAAAGAGGTTTAAAAAATAGATCTCTGAAAAAATTTATTTAACTGGAACCTGATACTGCCTTTAAAGCCCATGACATTTTCCTGACTGTAGAGGATCCGTTTCTAGCCCTTATAAACTGAAAAGAAAATATGCAGGTCTTTCTCTTTTCCTAAATTTCCTTTTCCTTGGGCACCTAGAAACACAACATTTGTAATAAAACACTCACAACATATTTTGCCATATACAGTAGCCAGGCACCTATAGCCTATATACAGTGGCTCAGAGGCTGATGGAATCGACACTAACACGTCTTGCCAGGTGATCCATAAAATGGTGTGCTGGAAAAAGGATTTAGTTCCTTATAACAACAAGTAATCATTTGCTGACTGAAACTTCAAGAACTGGGTAAAACTGACACACAAAAAAACCTTACTTTAGTTCCTTTATGTTGTCAATTTATAAATTTTCCAAATATATTTACATCAGCGATTTTCTGGATTAAGGCATCTGAAGCCCATGAAGAAAATATACTCATTTCAGTCCATCTCAATACTATGTTATTCCAAAATAGCCTTGGGCAGAGAGTGATGCTGAATGAGGGGGAAGTCAATGGAGAATTGCTCCCTTTTCACTTTGCTAATCACGTCACTCTCATTTTGGGACTATTTTTCTGATGTGACAGCTTGGGGCCAAAACGGCTCCAAGAAAGCTGTGCTCTGCTAACACACCCAGAATGGTGCAAATTGGTAAAAACCAGTGGGAAACTTCTTAGATATCCAAGAAAACTTCATTTACAGTGAAACAGATTACACTTTCCTCTCCTTGCAGTTTTCCCTAACCCCACTCTGGCCTGACCTCTGCCCAAGCAAGAGCTGCAGCAAAGACAGTTGTGTTTCCGTAACAATTTGTAACTCTGTACACAGTGGCGGTTTGGGGAGGCTTCTGCAGGATTTGAAAATTCATATGGTTGTCAGCGACATTGCAGTTGTCAAGGACTCTAAAAACAAGGGAGATAAGAAAGGCAAGAAAGCAGCCTAGCATAACCAGCGGTTTTCCCAAGCACAGGTGTGTTTGAGTAAACATCAGCAGGACTGATAAATTCACTAAGAAATTAGGAAAGCAATACTGTCAAAGGCAATCCCTGAGAATTATGAGGCCATTAAAGGCACGGCTGATACTGCAGCGTGCTTTGATACCTGTGCTCTAGTTAGAAGTGAGGGCAGAGGTGACTTATCAAAAAACCACTCCCTTCCCAGATACAGGGCTACAAAACCTAGGATGATTATAAGAAATGTCAGCCTTAAGGTACTATGACAAAGGGTAAGAGCAATCATACAGTTCGTTAATATATGGCTGTGCGGGGCAAGGATATCAGACCACTTTGCAAATATCTATTAACTTTTCACCACACCCCTGGAGGAAATCAGTAACCGAGTATAAGAGGCAGAGGAAACGGAGGCATCAGAGAATCCCCAAATCCTGATTTCACTCTAAAACACAGACGCATGCTCATTCTGCAATCTCACAAAGTCAAGTGAACTCAGACCTTACAGGTGTGTCAAGGGATGCATGTATGGAATAAGGCCTTCATGGGAAAAAAGATCATATATGTGGTTTCATTGAGAACCGTAACAGGTCACGGCCTTCTCAGCCACTTACTTCATCAACAAAGAGCCGTGCAAAGGTTTGGTATTCCTTGCTGCTTGTGTTGCTAAAGCCCGGAGAGTATTTCACGTTTGTTATCCGTACCGTGCCACTAAGTTTCTGTACAGCTGTAAGGTGAGAAAAAGACAAAGACGTTTCACGGACCGTAGTTCACGGGCAAGTGTGTGACACACGAGGTATGATCAACTCATAACAGCAGAAGGCCAGCCCTCTGAAATGTAGCAAAAGTCCCAAATGTCAAAACACAGTCATCCAGCACCTTAGTCTGCCCTCTCTGAGCCCCAGATGACTCCCAGGAAGAGCACTGACCACCTGTAGCACTTGTATCTGCCAGCTCTGCCTTGGACACTCTGGAGCATCTGAAATGTTGTGCTCCAGTTTGTTCAGGCACCTGAATTGCTGTCCTAAGCACAGCTAGCTGTACCAGCTCCTCCTACATGCAACGGGGAGACATCAGTCCTTCCAGAGGGGAAATCACTGCAGCACCAAAGTCCCCCATTTGACCTCAGAGGAAGGCTAGGCAGCTGCCTGAGATTAGACATCTACATTTTAGACAGCTATTGTAAGATAAGATGAACCCCATCAGGGTGTACACTTCCTTCCTGAGGTTGTATCTGCTGAATCACACTAAGGCAGTCTCAAATGTCCTGATTTCAGCTGTATATAAGGTACCAGGTTTCAGCCCAGACTCCTATACTGAGATTTAGTCTCCCATATTAGCTGCTTTTTTCTGCAGGAGCAAGAATTGAAACACAGGGCTCTGCGTAAATGCTGTGGACCATGAAATTATGTTTACATGTTGCATCAAAGCTGGTTCTAGTCGCATTGGGGACAATAATCCTTTGAACTAGGACAGGTACTAGAGGAAAAGAAATAGTCATAAAGCAAAGCTTTGCAAGGGAGAGGAGAAAGTTGTGCCTGCCTAAAGCAAGTCACCGAAGCAGGCTTCCTTTATCCCAGCATACTTCTGATCCCTTTTGCTTTTTGCTGTGGCTTGCCCTGTCATGTAAACATAGTTATTTAGGAGACAAACCACATTGAGTTATCTGCTGGTGATGGAGGAAAATGTTCTGAACAATTTCCAAATGGGAAAAAATTATCAAAAAACAAAAAAAAAGCCCAACAGCAGCTATTTAAAAGACCCGACAGACCATGAAGGGTTGGCTGAGGTTGACACTCCAGGTCAGAGAAGTTGCCACAAGGAGGAGCTATGTGTTAAACTTCATCAAATATGGATTTTTGCCATCTGAATTTCCTTTACCCACTATGGTGGCTCTTCCTCTCGTTCCCCAGGCCTAATCCCTTCACAAGCTTCTTTCCCAGCAGAAACACTTGGCTGAATATTTGATTCATCAGGAAAAGAAAATAAATTTTTATAAACTGAATTTGTTGGTGTAGCATTCTTTGATCCCTTTTCCAGCTAGAAGAGAACGACCTTTGCTTTTTTGCTGGTCAAAATTTGCTACTTTGATGGAGCATTTTAAAATTAATGTGTTTTTTTTTATTTTCATTTTTTAAAAAATAAAAAATCACACCACATTTTTTCTATTTTCCTTACATTGAAAGGGAGCAAGGAGAACACAAAGCAAGGCAGTAAATGGAGCTTTTCACTTCAGGACAACATGTTTGGTCAAAAATTATTTGTCTCCTCCATTTGGCCACCAAGGCCCCAAATCAGTTATTTGCCCAGCTCTGCTCACAGTTCTCACCCACACCAGAGAGAGCGAAGGATACAGTATGAAGAGAGAAGACAAAAGCTCAATAGGGGCATCTGCTGCCCAGAGCTGAACAGGACTGGAGAATTTGACGCTGTAGTACTGGTGATCAGGGATGATGATGCAAGAGAGGCTGGAGAAGCAGCAGAGTTGGCCTTACATGGCTGAAAAAGAGGTTTTCCAGCAAGAAAGGTATGAAGGAGAATCAGAAGAGGGGCTGGGTGAGTGAAGATCCTCAGGGAGAGGAGATCATAGGGGAGGAGAAGAGAAAAAAGCAGAGAGGAGTGCAGTTTGGGACTGGAGAGGTGTGGAGGGCATGAGAAGCAGAATAAAGACAAGCAGAAATAAAACTGAAATAGGTATCACTTCCTAACACATTAAAAAAGAACAAAACCAAAAAAAACCACATTTAGTGATGGGCAGAGACAGCAGCATTCCTATCCCAAACAAAATCATAATTTAAAAAAGGAATCTAATTTTGACCTTGAAATATGATTCAGCTCCAATCAGCTGAAAAATCTCCTAATTAGCTGCAATACATCTGCCCAAACCCAAAAGATCAAGCCCTCCCAGCAGCCTAGTTACTCTCAATTACAGCTCTCAAAAAAGTGGCTCACAGGTTTCCACGCATCTCCTGCCCAACAGGGGATTTGCAGGGCTCTGCCTAATCCACCCTCCACTGAGAGGAATAGGAAGGAAGCTCTCGTTTTCCTTCCTGGGTCTCTAAGGTGGCTGCTGCTGCAGTATCCTGGTGTCAGAGCATGAAGGAGAAATCAAGATGTGTGGCAAAGGGACAAGCAGCGTATGTTTCGATGAGCCATGCTCAATGCGCTGTATGATTTGCTTCATCTGCTTTGAGATGAAGAAATGTAACAGGGATCAAACTAACTGCCAAACTATCAGAAAGAGAAATTTTTTTGACATGCTGACTTTGGAAAAAAAGTGCTGATTCCTGCACAAAAATAATTCTGACATAGGAAAACTATTTTCACGTGTTTTCATCCCAGACCACTGATTCCAACTGCATCTTTCCTGACTCTGAGTGTGGCTTTGCTTCTCATGCAGCCAAATTACCACATGTGCAGGTCCCTGCCCAACGCATACTCACTGCGATCCATGGCTGGGCCTGCCATTGGGCTGGGAGCTGGGGAAGCACCTGGCAGAACTGGTGACTCCAGGGTTTTCTCAGACCAAGAACGGTTCTCTCTTCCCATCTCTACCTGTGCTCCAACAGTGGTGTTGAGGGTCGGAACATCAGCATCCCCTGTGGCTGGCAGAGCAGTACCAGGGCCATCATGAGAGTTGCCTTGAGGTACACCAAAAGCTGTGTGGCCTCTGGTGGTAGTAAAGGCTGTTTCATTTGGAAACACCAGCAATGGCAAACTGAGTTGGTCTTGCCCAGCTCTGCCTGAGGGAGCGTTTGTGAGAGCAGCATCTCGCTGTGATGCCCCTAGGGAAACCTCTGCCACAGAGCTTTGCCGTGATGGGCTTACAGCCATGTGCCACGCCGAGCTCACAGACAGTTCCTTGCCAGCTGCGACCTCCATGGCCGTGGGGCTGTTGTCCCTGCTGAAGCCCATCTGCGGTGCTGGGCTTTCGTCCCAAAGGGCCAGAGGAGCATTGGTGGGAAAATGACCACGGGGCACTTTTTTGTCACCCAGGGGCAGTGCGGGAGGGAGGTGTATGGCAGTGCTCATCTCAGAGCCTATGGCAGCCATCATCTCAGTGGTGACAAGGGAAGCAGGATCTGTAAGGCTCACTTCTTCAGGAGCAAACTTGGTGCTGTTTGTTCCTTCAGGAGCCATCGTTTCAGCGAGAAGGTCCACAATCTCACCTGTAACAAAGAAAACACACGTTGAAATGGGACCTCAGACTGGATGAGGAGGCACTAGGGTATGACCTGAAAATGAGATTGAGAACACTCAGCCACACGTAATAGTGTTGCAGATGCTACAGAAGCAGGTCTTGGATATTTCGTTATCACGTTGTTGCATATAGACTTTTACAGTGTTGAATCTGGCTTGTGCCTACGCAAAGAAGCAGATTTGATTCCTGAGTGTTCTCTTCTGGTTGGCAGATCATGGATCATTACAGTGGGACGAAATTAGCTGCAGACATACCAAAAGAGGAAAAAGTATGTTTCTTGTTGCTCAGCAGTCAGTTATTAGGCAGATCAAGGAGGACCTCAGAGAGATTTCATTTGATGATATATATATATATATATGTATATAATGTTCAACTTCATGTTCAAGGACAGATCGTACGTATTCCTTCAGACAGAGGCTGCAAAGATGCATCTATATACATGTTGTGTGCTATATAAACAGATGCAATAAAAGCAGAGGTAAAAACCCACAGCCTTTCATGGCAAAGGGAACCTATGAGCCAGTCTTCTGCTCACCCTCACAATTTCTTCCAGGTCGAGACGGATTGGTATCCATGGTTGTCTTGCATCTGCACAGGTATGACCCCACCAAATTGGTGCACTCTGCAAACACAGAGCAGTCATTCTCAGCGTGAGAAGCACATTCATCCCAATCTGTAAGACCAAAATCAGAACATCAGTCAGACAGCTTCCCTTCTTGCTGCATTAAGCTAGAAATAATCATAAAGTAGTAATTTCTTCAGTTTTGAATTTATTTTTCACTGTTTGCCTTACAGCCAAGTTCTGAGTGACACAGAGCTCAGTCTGTGTTGTTATTCTTTCACACAAAAATCACCCTTTGTCCCTGCATGCTGAAAAATATTTGCTTCAGGTAAAGATTTATTTAATTTTTTTTTTAGAAGTGAACACTTACTTGAAGTGAAAAAAAAATGTTGGTTTGTACTATCAAAATCATACATCATACCAAGTTCTGCTTACAGAACCTCCAGATACGTCAGGTAATTAATAGATCTGTTACCACTGGCTACTAGCAGATAGCATATTAAATAGAGACCTAATCCAAGTAATTTTCTGCTTCATAAAAAAGATAAATGCAAGTAATTCCCGTGAGAAGCACTCTTTGGTTCTTAACAAAGGAAGTGCTAACGGCAAAAAACTCCTTTTATAAAAGATTTTTTCTCAAAGGTAATACTGTAAAACTGTGACCCCCTTTCTGGTAGCATCAGAAAAAATATCGTGGTTCATCAAAGCATGAATATGCTCTAAGGAAGTTCCTTATGTTTAATTTCAGCTGCTCTGAACTGGTTAAAGATGCTTCTTTCATGGAGTTATAGGCCTATTTTATTTCCACATCTCTTCACTCTTAAGGGATTTAGATCTGGAGCCTTATATTACCATTTGCACTCTGTTACAGCAAACATGCGAAGGCCGAGTTAATGTTTTGGACATGAATAATCTCAGTGAATCCCATGTGACCCTTCCCTGTGTGCACTCCCTTGTCACACACCTTCATTGCCTCAGGGCTCTAAGTGAGGGAGAGTGGAAAACTAGACTGAAAACTGTCTTGGGACAAATAATTCCGATCAGAGGGTAGGAAACTGTTTTAAACAATGCATTATCTCAAGTGATTGTTCTGTAACTGTGCAGAGCTTAATCACTGTATTTATTTCTCCAAAACCTTGTTCTAGAAACAGAAAGAGCAGAACAGTTGTGTGCACACGCGTATGTGCACTCATCTTTCTGCTTGCAGACCGCCTTCCCCTTTTATATCCTCCCAGCTAATATTTCAATTCTTTTTTCATTCTTTCATGATTAGATAATTGTTGTATCCATGACTGTTTCCATTAGACAATTTCATGTGCCTGTGGCCAGCATCTACCTATTATGTTACAGCCTAAGCCACTTAGAGGGAATACAGAAATATGCAGGATTGAATAAAGCACCAGAAACGACAGTGCTCTCATTAACGCCTTATTATGCTATGAAGTAATCGTGACTCTTGATGGCTTCAAACACCATCTGAGAGTTGCTCCTGTGCTAATTGCCAAATAACTTACATTCACTGGCTCCCTTGTCTCTGTGGGTTTCCTTTCTCATCACTTAGCATGGCTTTCTAAGCAAATTCCTTCACCTCTGATGGCCACATTCAATCATGCACCAGGGCAAAGCACTTAGGTTCTCTTCTCAGGGCTCACTGGCACTAGTACATCACTCATGCATGTACTTACACATGCTGCTCTTTTTTCCTCTATAAAAATTACATCTCAGCCAAGGTGTTCTCTGTCCTCTCTGCACCCTTAGCCTCTCTCTGGCCTTTCAAGTTTGGCAAGTGCCTTTCCCACACACATACCTCAGCCAAGATTTCTAGTCCAAAAATTATTTAAGAAACGCCCTTGTGTTTGTTCTGATTATCCATTATACCTATAAGAGGTACATGCCGTGAGTAAAAAGCTGTGCAATTCCTTGCCCAGTGATGTCGCAGATGTTAAAGGTTTGCATGAATTCACAGGCAACTCATGAAGGAAAAACCCAAAGAAATAGTTTTGGATTCAGGGAGATCTGGAGCTGAAAACAGCTGGTGGCTAGGAGAGTATTAGTGAGAGGCATTGTCTATACTTGCTGTATTCTTACACTTCTCCAGGAATTGACTCTTGGCTGCCACTGAGAATGTGATGTTGTGCTAAATGGATCATGGGCCTGTCTCAGTACACATCCTTTTCTCTTTGCTTACCATGCCTCACACAACAGTCAGACATTTTAGTGTCTCTATTCATCACAGCAGTAAACTTAGCAATTTATGGGTCCTCAAAAAGAGATGTAATTGTTCCTCTCCCTTCAGTTGTGCTATCCCTTCTGACTTCTCATCCTTGCCATTTCACAGAATCGTTTAGGTTGGAAAAGACCTTCAAGATCATAGTGTCCAACCATGACTGCAGTAATGCCAGGTCCATCACTAAACTATGTCACTAAATACCTCTTTTAAATACCTCCAGGGAGTTTTCAAAGTTGAATTCCCTGCCCTGCCACTGTCACTAAAAGAAGCACATCATAGCCTTTTGGTGGCCAGGCTTCACAGAGGATCCAGTTGGCATTGCTCCACTGGTGCAACGGGATCTGTGAGGAATTACTGCCAAAGGGCACATCCCAGGGCTCTCAGAGGTCAGAAAGCAAAACAGTCCATTATACTAACCTTTCCTTCATGTGCTGCACTTCTTTGCCTTATTTTCCACATTTGACTTTAGGAAGCTTGTGTTAAACAAATCCTTGTTTGGGCAGAGCTAAGAAATAGAGCCCTTTTCTCTACCCCTAAGGAGGAGTGGAGGAACTGCTGTACTCTTGGCTAAGAGTGGTGCTGCTGGGAGACACCTGGTTTTCTGCAATTAAAGTAAGATTCCAGAGGTATTGCCTTCTTCCTCCTCACTCTTTCAGTCTCAGGACTCATAACATTTGTATTTTGGCACACATCAGCATCTTGCAATTCAGTACCTGCCACCACTGTGACATTTGTAGGCTTCACGTGCAATTTGTATCTTCTGTATTTTTCCTGCCCCGTTCTCCTTAACCGCCATACACTCTACAACTCCGGAGGAAGTTTTCCTCAATTACAGCTTTTAAGGGCTCAGCACACTGGTAGAGAAAAGTAATGAAGTCTCTCAGCTTTTGCAACTTTCTGAACTCTGGCTGGCTTTGTCTGCTTGGGAAACCTGAAGCCAAAACTTAGCCTTTTGAAGATAAAAATTGTGATTACTAAAGATCAAACAAAAGCCTAGTTTAACATAAATTCCATGTGTGTTTCTTTAGTCCTTTTCTCTTAGAGGACATTTGGGAATTTCTCTGGCTGGATTTCTATAGTGAAGATGTTAGATTTCTTTTCTTAAAACCTAGCCCAAATATAGCCTCACAGTCTTGAAGCACAGAACTGTCTAGAGGGCATGCGTATCTAAAGGCTAGAAATACACCACAGTAATCCTATCTGCAGTTCAGTGGGAGAAAGATATGGCTAACTTTCAACTGCTCAAAATGAGGAGGAGGAAGAAAATTAATAGGGAAACCAAGGGCTCCGCTCCTCCTTAAACACAGTGGAGGGAAGAAGTGCCTGCAGGTCTCTGGGGACAGCCAACACCCCTTTCATGGACCCTTTCTGGGCTTATGGATAAAAGCCTACGGGGGAGTTCTCACCTCAAGGTTTTCCCTCCAACAAACCACATACTTTGTCTCTCTATAAAGTACTTTTTGTGAAGAATGCTGGTGATACTGTGCATGTATTTCTTTTCTTGTTAAACAAAATAAAACATAAATTACCTTCTACTGCAGTGTTTTGCTGATCTACCATGAGCACAGAGCCATTGTAAAGGTAAGAAAGCATTGGGGCAAATGTGGAGACATCGACTGGAAACTCGGGATCCTGCACAGTTATTCTGAGACTCACAAGGATGCTTCCAGCTTGCAGGGATTCAGTCTGCACTTTTAGCTTCCCAGATTTGTATAAAGTAGAAATGTTGGGTGGAAATGAATTTTCAAGCTGAGGAAAGGGAGAGAAGCATCGACAATTAGGCACTGAACAGGAATAGCTCACTTTAAAACTGGATTATAGTGGTAGCGTTTTAAAGATTTATATAGGCACAACACAGAAAACGTTGCAAAAAAGAAATGTGTCAAAGTGTTCCAGAAATCTTACTTTTCAGAGATTATTGAGGCACAGTGGAGTATGAGTCTCCTTGGTGCGGCTAGGTACTTTTGAAAACAGTACCCATCTGACCACTGGTCTTACAAACCAAATTTCATTTTGGCTCCTTCTGCCCCTGTTTGCCTGCATCAGAGCTGAACTGGCTTGTTAAGCCTGCAAGCAGCAGACCCTTGACATTAGCCCTGTATGTCATGTAAACTTTTTGTATCACCAGTGTTCTCACTCTCACCAGTGTTCTCCCAGACACTGAAACCTGGTGGTCTCCACTGTGACTGGAGCAGAGTCTGGCTTGATTTTGGCTACTATCCAGAAGTACCCAGGCAGAGCTTGACACGTAACATCAGCCAGGGGCCAGTCCCAAAGGGCAATCTGAACATGACCATCATCCTTTGGAAGATCCAAGTGCAAGAAAGCAGGCTGGATTTGAGAGTACCAGGATAAAAGTTTTCCGTAGCCATATTGGCCTGAGGCCATCCAGAGACTCCCCAGTTCCTGCCAGCCTGTTTATATGGCAACAACAAGGAGGGAAGAGGGGCAGCTGTGCCTATGAGGAGGAGAAGGTGGGTCAGGTGACCCAAATGGATCACAATTACATCAAGGTTGATTACCAAACTGGTAAGTAGACACGTCAGTATTGAATAAATGGTGTTACTCTGAACATTAAAGCTGGCGTACTGCTGTCAGTGTCTGAGCTGTGCAGGAGTTGGCAGTTTTACTTTACATCTCTAGAGGGCATCTCCTTGCTTGAGGTTTTTGTTCCTACACAGACCTCAAAGCATGCCTTTGAGCACGCAATGCAGTGCCATAAATCAATGCACCTTTGTTCCTGTTTGGTCAGACTTTGCTCCAAAATTCCCACAAACAAGCTGTTTAACTGGTCTAAGCTCACATCAGGTTGGGGAGGCAAGAAAATAGGAGAGAGGAAGTGAGAGGGGGATATGCTCCCAAACACCCAAGGAGGCAGAAGCAACTCATATGGGCAATGCTCCTTTTCCTTCCCAGTCCCGTAATGCAAATTAGGTCTGCATTCATCTCAGAGAAGATTCACTCACAAAACCCCTCCTGTGCAATAAAAGCCAACAATTTGCAGCTATGGAAGATGAAATCATTTCAGGAAGTTTGGCTTGCAATTTCTCATGAGCAAATGTCTCTTCAGTGCTGCCTTTGAAAGCACAGCTCCATTATCACTTTTTTCATCAGATTTATATTCATATGTGTTTAAGAATCACCCTTTGTTTTGGAAAAATCTCATTTTGGATGGAGATTCCAATTCCTCTCTACAGGACGTCTTCTCTACAGAAAAGCTTTAAGAGACTGCTGCATCTGAAATGCCCCTGTTGTTTGAGAAGCTGAGAGCTGGTAATAGTGACTCAGGACTCAAGTTCTGTTTATGGCTGATTACACCTGAGCATGGACAGTGGCTACGTGTGCGCGTGCAATGAATGGGGCTGAAGAAGAAAGCCTGACCTGGTCACTCTTCCTTAAAGAAGAAAAAGCTTTGAAAACAGTCAGACATTTATTGAGAAGACAACGCTGAAATGAATGCCAGCAATGTCACTTCAGTAATCCATTAAAAAGCTTCAAGTCAGTTTAGTGTGAGTTTACTGCCAAACTAAAGATTGTAGGAAATGAGTCCCTGTTGCATGCCTGCACTTTTAATTCCTTTGCTCCTCTGTAGAGGAAAATTCTCGTTGTCTTCATTGCTAATAAGGTCAAAGGCTGGATCTGTCCAGTCAATTGAATTTTGTTTTAATTATAAAGAAAGGTCACAGGAAACAGTGTGACGATTTTCAAGGGATATTTCAGCCAAGCGTAAAATCTTCTATTTTATTAAATAAATTCTAAAATAAATAAAAGAATATATTACCCACAGATATTTTAGTATTACCTCCGTAAGCAACAGTTTTGAAAATTCTTTATATGCTGAGCTGCTGGCATTGTGGAAATCATCACTGAAATTGTAGTTGAGAATCCTCATAGTAACACCAAATATCTTGGCCTCTGTAGAACACAATGTTAAAATACACACTGACAAAGCAGAAGAGGAAAGGATTTAGTTAAAACTGGTGTACCCAGACCAAAATCTCAGATAATGGAGAAGGTGTGGAGAAGGCTGAGAAAGTTTGATATTAAACCAAGAATATAAAGTCAATACTCTGCTACAAGCTTCAGATACATTTGCATCAGGTCCATAAAGATATTTAGGCACCTAATTATAACTGCATGAGAATTGGGTATATACATATCTTTGTGGATATGACTCTACATAACTTCTGCATTTGAGTTACATACAGAGTTGAACTGCCTGTGAGTTCATCTCTGGTCCACCAGTCACAATTATTATTTTTTTCCCTGAACTTGGCAGCATAGATAGCAATTAAACTGAAAATAATAACAAAAAAACATGCATGCCACTTCTTTGTCTAGTGACCCCTGGTAGAAAATGTACAGGGCACACAAGCTGAAACCAAGAGCCAAGGAATCTGTAACCACTTTAACCTGTATAAACAATCTGAGGTTGTTACCCTTCAAACTGGTCTTTGTAAAACTTTCTTTTTCTCAAGGGCTTCAACTTCATAATGTGAAGTTCAGCCCCCTGTTTCCATAACCACTCGACCTCCTACTTTCCTTCTACAAAGGGAGTAATTTCCTTCTGACCCAAACTGGAGTCATTTCACATCTGATCAAAGGGAAGGCTCTTACAGATAAACATAAACAGCAGCATTCTCACAGTATTAAATAGTTCACTGCATGTGTATTGAATAAGATGGGGAGAGATCTATTTTGTATTTGCATGAAGGCTTAGGAAATAATTTAAGGATAAAGAAAAAGCAAAATTACACTTGATCAACACACTAGGGTCTCAGGGAGCCAGCTAATAGAACAATAGCTAACTGAATAAAATCTGGCAGGTATTTTTCAAGCTTTCTTGCACAGTCTTTTTTATTTCCTTTAATCCTAGTCACTCACAAACAAACAGCTAAATCTGGCCTTCTTCCCCTGGGCACTCATGTTAGCTCAGCTGAGCCCTTGACAAACCAGTTGCCTGGATTTATCACTGGCCACAGCTGTCAACTAGGAAAAAAGAGACCTGATGAGAGATGGGTAGCAGCAGAATGCAGTGCCAAGCACAAAAAGAAATGCACTGTAGTGTACCCTGATATCTGTAATAGTCTTTATCAACTAAGGCCAGAGCTCTTTTGCCCGATAGTTCAGGTTGCATAAATGTTGAGATAGAGGAGAGAAAAAGTGCTGAAGGAGGTGGGAAATGGAGTTCAGGCGTAACCAGAAGGATGACTGCTGAGCTGCAAGGGAGTGGAGAAGGCGACAGGGCAGAGAGAAAATGTATATATATTTTAAAGTGGCTATTTACCTGTTTTAACATTTTGACGGGAGATTCTGGTGTTTCCACAGGTCTCATAGCTGATCTCTACCGAATACATCACTCCTGCTTCCAGTTGACACACATCCACTTTCATTTCCTCCGTCTTCAGGTTTTGTACAATCTCTTTGCCCTTGAACACTTGGACTTGGAAAGTATGGTTCAGAGTAGAAGTGACATGCCAGGACATTTCAAAACTGTCACTGGTAACACTAAAGATTTGGTGGTTTCTAAATGCAGAAGGATCTATCGTAGTCCCAGGAAGAATCATCATAGAAAAAGCAACATTTCATTTTTAAGGCACTGTGTTGTTCTAAATCTATTATAGACAAGCATTTTGATAATCAATAGCAGAACCTCCACTTTACATTGTGTGAGGACAGAATCTGCCCCTTTCACACTACCAGGTCCCCTCATCCATGAACAATCCCTCTAGAGTGATTAACTGAGTGCTTACTCTTTTTAGTTCCTTATATGTGAATCTCTAGTAACAGTAATAATCAGCCAGTAAGCCACAGGTTCAAGCAACAGGAATAAGTTTGGAATACTGAATTTCTGCGTTCAACATACGTTGACACCTGCTTTGCCTCTTGTCCCTTCAGTCATCAAAATGCACCTCTTCAGGCAAAGGCTGCCTTGATTTATGCCTGGAAAAATCCCACAGACCCCAGCTTATGGAGGCTGAGGGCAGAGTGGTGTGGAGCGTTTCACCTATTTATGCCACTCCAGTCCAGTGCAATTATTGTCATATCAATGAGAAAAGACAGGGCCCTTCAGAAATGATTCCTCTCCTCAAAGGAGGAGGAGGTGTCTAAAATGGGTAGGATGAATTGCCCTCCAGCAAAGCCTGTCTCTGCTAACTATATAGAGAACCCAGACTAGACACTTCTCCTGTCAGGGGATCAGGTGAGATGAACATCATCCCCCACACTAATCTAAAGACCATGGCATGCTACTGCCACAACTCCAATTCTTTCATGGTAATGGTTAGCCTGAAAAAAAAATTTGTTTTATTAAATTGTTTCAGTAGGACACAATTATTTCAAGGACTCTGAGCCAGGTGGCTGCCAAACACCCCCAAAACCATACTGCCCCTGCACTTCGGTTTAATTCCTCTAACTTCAGCATGGATCAGCAGCTGTGGATGAAGACAAAATGTATCCAGTCTATCTCTCTGGATTAGGCAAAGAACTACTTAAAGCTATTTCCTCCCGCAAGAACAGGATGTTGTTACAAGGATTGTGATAACAAATCTACTGGGCTTTTTTCCCGTCATAGTCCCTCAGACAGCTATCATGTATCAGGGAGTGTATTCACAAAGGTTGACTCCAGTGTAGGGTAGCTGTGGCCAACCTCCCTGACTTACGTCTCCCACCAACATCTTCATAGACTCGAAAGCGAGAGGCCTGCATCCCAGTGTCTTTGGCCAGGAGCTTCTGTGGTTGGTAGCAGATCCTGTTCCAGGACAAGCTGGGTCCAGAGTGACTGAGCAGTACTGCCCTTGCAGAGCCTTCACTGGATTTTTTTATGCCAGAGGATTATCCAGCACAAGCCCTATGATGGGACCTGCACTTGAACTGTTCACCAGGCACAAGCGGCTCAAGAAGCCAGCATGGCCACCTCCACTTCCAGGAGACCAGTTCCCTTCAGTAGTCATGGCAATAACAGCATTACAGACCCTGATCCAAACGTCCTGTTGGGGAAGCCTCTCTTTCTCTGTTTCCATAGGTGAAGATTCACTCCCAAACTATTACCAGCTTCTGTGACTCAAACATGCCCCAGGACCAAGGGATCAAAGAGCAGCTGAATTAAAAGCACGACAATATTAATTTAAATCCAAGGTTACTTACAGCACCCAGCATCTGTAGATTGGCTAGTCATGGACAAGAGACTTGAATTACTTATAGACAGAGAGCTATTACTAATGTTAATGAGATCCAATGCTGAACTTGATGTAGTAGATGATGCCAGACCTAGGGGGAAAATGGAATTATCAAAGAGTTGAAGCATTCCTAACAAGGCAAATCCAAAATAATACCATTCATGTTTTCCACAGCTGAAAAGTAGAAACTGAAAAGTAGAATTGATACAAGTATAAATGAAAATAGAAATATTAGCATATTACAAAAGCATGAAGTAATATCTTATCTTAATTTTTGAGATTAAAGGATTGTAAAATTGTTTTCTAACTAAAGCATTGAATCTGCAAGTACTCATTTATCTCACTATCTTTAAGCCCATTATCAGGCCCATTGATGTCTGTGGACTGTGAGTACATGCCTCCATATTTTGCTGAACTGGTACTGCAGAGTATTATTTCACCCACTGGCAAGCTCAGTCTGCCTCTAACAGAGGACCCCAATTAATCCAGGATGGGATTACACAACCACTGAGTCCCAGCTGCAGTCACGCAGTCAAAATGGGAAGGAGAGTTCACGTATAAACAGCGTCACTAATCGTATTTCCCCAGGAGGCTGGAGTGATGCACTGACACTGAGTCAATTGCTCTGAGAAGCATTTGAAGGGTCTGAAGCTAGAGGGTCTGACATATGAGTGAGGACAGCTGAGGGTAAGAAAACAGAAATAGCCAGATACTGTGATATATATACACTACATTTCAGTCAGAAATGTTCCCGAGATGAGACCTATGTTTCTTACCTTCCTTTCTTTGGCTCAGCTGGTGAGGAGTGATATCTGCATTTTCATGCTGAGGGTCGCAGCTGTAGTAACCCTCCAGATTTACACAGATGCTTTTCTCAGGACAAGTGTTGAATTCAGCATAGGAACATTCATTGACATCTAAGAAGAGGAACACATTTTGCACACATATTGATAGCAACATCAAGACTGATCTGCAATGCTGGCTCTGGATATGATAAATTCAGTGTAAATCTTCAGTAACTCTGCTGAAGCAACTCTGCGTGTATGTGAGTGCAATGAAATAAGAGTCCTGACATTCCTCAAAACAGTAAAAACCTTATCATTTTTTGCTCCAATACTTTGGAATAAGAGAACTGTTAGTGGCAGCTCCTGCTTACAGTTGCAGGACATCATCCAAACCTAAGAGGTGTCAGTGGCAGGATTAAGGAGGTCTACCCAGTGACTTCACTGAAAGTTGGACTGAGTTTTCAAAAGTAAACACAGAAGTGATGACAACAGTGCATATGGATGCATTTCAGGGGTGGAAATGGTAATGGCACAGTAATAAGTAGATTAAAATAATTTAAACCAAATATATTTAAATATTTACCTGACATTCAAAAAGCTGGTAGGAATACACTATAGCAATTAACAGGCTACAAATATGACTTGTGTCATGCAAGCTCCTGAAAGTAGCAAGAACACACTTTTTTTTAAGAGCCTGTTTAATACAATTAAAATTTGTGCTACAAATATGGACACGTTTGCCTTTTCATCTGAAAATGGGCTGTGCTATTAGGAGAAAATATATTTAATTGAATCAGCAATATTCCCCTCCAAAGTATTCACTTAAAAATTATTATAACTGCAACTCTATAATAGAAATGCTAGGGCCATATTTGTAAAGTTTACAAGATCCACTAAGCTATTTCTGAGAGCAAATTGGTCGTCACATAGATGAAATCCCATGTGAAAAGGGATGAAATCTGGTAAAAAATCTGCCCCCCATGACAGGATTATAATAAATAACCTTGCACTTCTGTATCAATCACTTCATATACACGCTTCACAATGTCCTTCAAGGAAGAAGAAACCTCCAGTAGCAGAACTGGCTGGTGCAGTCCAACAAGAACCTGGGAGGTCACTGTCCCAGCATAGACACCTGCACGGTTACTCTGGATATGGTGCACAGATGCATTCAAGGGCTGTAATGCACCAGTAACCTGGAAAACAGAGGAACAAACACTTCAGTATCTCATTCCTTTCCCAGCACAACTGTATGCCAATGAGGCATAATCTATGCAATGATCATCATAAAAATCTGAGTGTAGAAAGCATCAATTCAGAAACCATAGCAAAGTGGTATAATTTAGTTATTTGTTGATGCAAGGTGAGCTCTTCTTATTAGCATCACATTTCACAAGAGAGCTATGGTACAGTAATGCCAAGCTAAGGGAGGTGTGGAGCTGCTTGTCAGGTCTCAAATGCCTGAGCAGAAGGCTGCAACCCCAGAAGACATGGAAAAAGTCCTTTTGGCTTGTAATGCTTAAACATCAAAATCTCAATAGACAGACTATACGTTAGACATGCTATTACAATTCATCTGTAATAAAGCTGTCTAACACTTGTTACTTTAAGGATCTAAAATGAATGCTGGTAAAGGGAATAGAAAGAAAAAGAGTAAAGCAATAGGCTGAGGAAGAAGGCTGGGACTAAGAGCCACAGAGGGACCACAGGTCTGACCAAGTCATCACAACTGAGAGTCTGGAATGAGAGAAGAGACATAGTCGTGGCTTAGGCATTATGAGTCAGTGGAGCGGACAGGGTCTTGAAGACACTCCTCTGAGTAGCAGCTTATCACAAAGCTTCAGTTTATATTTTCTATTTCTTGAGCGTTTGGCTTTGCCACATCTTGCTTTAGATCAAGATACAGAAGTCTCACTAGATCCTTGCTTACCTTACTACAGAGTGACAGGACCAGGGTTTCTTGTGTTTTTTTAGGATGTGAGAAGGGGAAATTAAGGTATGAGGAAAAATTACACTCATGCAACATCCCCATGTTACCGCTGTCATTTCTGTTCTACTGTCCATCAGCACTAGTTGATGATGGGAGAAGGTACTTGCTACCTGCACACTCCCAGCTGGAAGCTGAGGAGTAGTAGAAATAAAAATGGAGGGAAACGGGGACTTGCCTTCTTAGGTACTTTTCAAAGACCACATCCAAGCCTCATTTCCTCCATGGCACGGTGATACATACCAGGGAAATGCTTTGGTTTATGGCCTGGAGGGTCTTTTTCCCAGTTCCTCAATCCGATTCCTAAACACAACTGAGATGAGAGAGAGAAGCCCCGTCTGAGCACGGCTGTAGTTCATAGCCTGGCTCTTTCTGCAGGGAAGCGTACCTCCTACATCTGCTAGGGCTGTTTTTCTTGGCTGCCTCGGACTCTTCCTCCCTGCCTTGCTGGGGATACGGGGGGGCACATTGTGCTGCTATAGTGTAGCCATGCACACGTTGCTGCCATGGCCACTGCTAATCCATGCGTGAGGCAGAGCCTGGGTCATACAGCAGAAGCATCACCCTGCTGTCTCCCCCATCCTTGCTTTTGTGGCAAGAATGGCAATGAAATGTCCTTGACCACGACACAGTTCCCTAACCTAATCATGAGGTTTCACAGCAAAACTTCTGGTGCTGCTGAGTCCACCTGCAATGTTCCTTATCAGAACACAGCACGCTTTGCAGGCCTTGAAAACCAGATCCAGTCGGTCATGGAGCCAAAACTGAACTGAGACGGAGCTGGAGCAAGCATAGCTTAAGCAGGAAAATAAAAGGTATTTCAGAATGTCTTTGACTTGCCCTTGGAAGAGACTGGAAAATTTACTAAAGAAGCTGATAAATCAACGTTGCTTGAGCTGCCTGAGGATACAGATGACATTCAGTAATTAGGAATAGATTGGGGCTAGAGACGCTGATCTGTCAGAATGAAGTGGGAGCGACTGGCTGGCGAGGTTACAGCCAGCACAGAGGACTAGGGAGCAACTGGTGGTTACTGAGTAACAGAAATGGGGACAAAATGAGCAACACAAGGGAGCATTCGTGCTTGTACATACCATGGAGTGCAAAAGGCGTGAATGATTCAGAAGGTGGGAATCCATTCTGACTAATTCATTAAAATCCATTTTCACAACTACTGTCACGTTGTACCAGAATTTTCTTCCTGAAGAGTACAAAATAAACCAACCAAGTCATCTGAGGTCTGATGCTATAGAAAGCGACAGAGCTATAGGAAGGCTCTGAGAAACCAAAGAAAACTTTAATTTGGCAAATATGAAGGGCCCACCTAGAGCCATCAGCTATGTCCTCATTCACCATATGCCGCAGGCAGCGGCACCAGCAAAGGAGAATAGGCCAAGGAAGTTCCACTGGACCTGCAGGTCGTGGGTGCAATATCATGGAATTGGTCCAAGTTCTTGTACTTTTTTAATGAAGGGTTATGGTAAGAGTTTTCCTGTCCACTCCCACCCTCATAAGGAAGAATTAAGCATATTTCTATTAGAAGCAGTCTTGAATTTATCAGTAACATACCCTCTGGCATTGGATCCACACAGCTTGCTCCTTTGGATGAGTTGCAGCATTTTTTAAGCCCTGGACATTCAGTATCGAATGTGCAAGGATAATCAGATGTTTCCATATTCTCCATTGGACAAATACCAGGTCTTGAGGAAAATACACTGGATCTATTGAGTGCTAAGTAACAAAAACATTTCCAAGAACAAAAAATATAGAAAATTGTTTCCATAAAATTGTGCTATTTAGTTTATAACAAACACCTCCTCATTTTAGAAGCACATCTGTTCTGAGTTTTTCATGGGGAGGAAATAGCAGCCTAAAATACTATTACTTCATTTCAAGAGTGTAAATGTTCTCATATTTTTCTCTTGTTCATGGCATTTCTGTTACAAGAATTTTGAATTGATATTTTTTCATTAATAATCATTGGTGGATGGTCTAATAGACAGAGAGAGGGAGGTTCTAAATGAGAAGATATTGAAGACCTGCAAACCAGAAAATATAATCAATGTCACCTATAACCAATTCAAATCATGTACAAGGATCAAAGGAAACAGGTGATGTCTAAGCTAGAAATCACGAGTTTTCATTTAACCTTTTGTTGTGACAAAGTTAACCTTTAGTTATAGCACTTGGAGACATTACGTGAGAGCAGACACAATGTTGTCCTCAAGTCCGTTCGAGTGCGTTACATGGAGGGACAGGAGAGCAAAACCGAGCCTGTGATCTGCACCCTGGCAGCATCCACTCTGTATCAGCTAACCACCCCACGCCAGACAGCCCTACACAGAGATGGCAACTGAGGCAGAAAGTTGCAGCACCACAAGCCAAGGGCAGACAGTGGAGCACATACTCTTCTCTGAAAGAAAAGAGAAAACATTTCTAAGCTTTGCAAATATTACTTTAACCCAGGCTCTCAACCATAGCTCCAAGCAATGCTCAGCTCTGGTCTTTCCAAGCAACCTGAAAGTTTTCTCTTTTCCATTCATTTCCCGCCTGCAAGTTTTTGGTCCTACAAGTTCTTGATCTGATACTGGGCAATTAAAGTCATCCACTGGACAGTCAGCCACATTGCCATAAAGAAACAGCCCATTAAGAGCAATGATTTAAAGACCATAGTCTGAGTCTTTTGGGAGCCCAAAGCATGCTTGTCAAGGGTCTCTGAAAGGTAATTAGAGAAAGCAAGCATAGCTTAATGATGGGTGTCCACAAAAACCTGCCAAACCTCACAAACTAGAGAACAGAGATGGCACTGAATTGAGGCCTCTCAGCAGCATGCAGGCTGCCTGCAGGTATGATTCCAAAGATTTGCATGCAGAATACACAGGACAGCAGTTTCCCACACTCTTATATTTGGTACACTATGTGTGTATACTTTGAGTGCACACAGTCAATGAGCACACACTTTAACACGGCTGTAACCATCTCTCAAGAAGGGTTGGTGTTAGGTCTACAAGAGCTCTAGATAGAAAATTAGGTGTGAGTACATCACCAGTGCCCTTTACAGTTCTGATCAAGTGAATCTTGGGGAGCTTGATACAAGCATCTAAATCCCTCCAGCTCTGTGATTCAGGTGCAGTTCAAGCAGGTTTGAGGTTCAAAGCAGCTCTTTTCCACCTACATCACTTTTTGGCATGTTTAACTCTGGTGTAAAAGATGTAATGAATCACATGCAATCTCAGAAAACATTATTGAACCCTGGCCGAGTGCCACGCTAGCCATTTATCTAAAATGAAAAGGTCATCATTTTCAGATCAGCGGAAACAGAGATGGATTCACATCACACTTCTGCCTAATTGTACCAGATGCACTTTGAAAATTCAATTTATGCTCTCCACTTCAATCACCTTGGGGACAGTCACCTACCAAGCAACACTGCCAGCACTAGGGAGCAAGCCAGCCAAGCCCCTGTCAGTTGGATAAAGTATAGGCTTTTCTCCTCTGTTATTTGCATAAACGTACAGAAGCAGAATCGCAGCACCCAGTGCTTAGCAACGAAAGCTCAGTTATCAGCCTGCCCACATGAAAGATGACAAGTCTGCTGTGACCATGGGGTAGGGGGGATCTCCTAGGAGATAGATGCTGAGGGACACCGCTACTTCAACTGTAACCCCCTTCCTTTCTCTCCTTCCACCTAGAGGGGCCATGTTTCATCCAGAGGGTGCAGTAGAGCCAGGGACCAAACTCGTGCTTTCATCTCAGGCATCAGAAGGTGGAGACAAATCTATGAGATTATAGAAGGAGCTCCTGAAAAAGCCTGTTACAAAAGCAGACTGGTAATTTTCATCATACGGCTCTGGTTTGGGGGTCTTTGAGCACTGCCAGACTTTACCTGCTCAGATGAATATTTTCCATCCTGAATGCCTGTCTGAGGGTTAATTGGGATGGAGGGCAGCGTTGAGATGTGCTGGTTCAGCATCGGACAAATATTTGACACCCTGCCCTGTGAAAAGTCATATCATTCACTAGAACATATTCAGGAATCGTGGGCTGAAATTCACAGTTGTTGCACAGTGGGCGTGTGTGGCCTTCCGTGCACACACTGGGTATGCTTAGAAGAAACTTAATGAAGTTTAGCCACTACCACCTCCAATGGGTTCATCCTGCCACCAGGACCACGGCGTGGCCGTGCTCTGCTTTGTCAGTGCCCGTACCAGCAATTGGTGAGCGCACAGCTTGGATGTGACTCCGGGTACCCCTGCTCCCACATGGGGTTAATGCAGTCGGGGCAGGCACAGGGTAGGTAACTGAATGGAGCAGATAACTTGTAAGGGAAGACTACAAAAAAGGCTGGGACTCTTTGCTGTGGAGAGGAGAAGCAATCAAGATTTACAAAGTCCCAGAGGCAGGGAGTGAGGTGAAAAAGGATCTAGTATTGACCATAGCCCACAGTAATGGGCCTCAGCTACCTAAGCACCTAAAAAAGGGGGTTTACTGTATAGTTGTTCTTCTGAAAACCTTAGGAAGATGTGCACACAAAGCATACTCTGATTAAAGTGTGGCCTTAATGTTGCAAATTAATTGCTCTCAGATTAAGAATCTCTAAGATTAAGGTTGTCTAGACCTTCTCATTTCAAAATATTTTTGTACACTTGCGCTTAAAAAACAGCCTTCATTGCATGCTGATGCACTCTTTTGCTCCGTAATTGGGGATCAAGCAGAGTTAAGTGGCAGAAAAGGAAGCTCTCTGGTTTCGTCTTACACGGTAAGGTGGAAGGTGGGCAGCAAACCAATCATCAGGAGAAGTATTGATTCAAGTAGCCGAAAACTAGCCTGGAGAATACAACCCTATCTCTACCTAAAAGCAGTCCTGCAGTGCTAGATCAGGTAATTGAAAGAGTTTACTAATCTGTATGCATGGGCACAAAGAAAGGAAACAAAGGTCTTATTTAATTCTACCTTTAGAATTAATTGAGATAGTTTGTGTGTGCATGTGTAATACTATCCTAATGGATTGACAGGCAACTAGTGAGAAGGACTGGAGTAACTTGACTAATGATCTAGATATTTTTTTCCCCGACATTAAAGAAATAAGAAAAACAGGGCCTGCCATGCCACAGGCAGAGGTAAATGTTTCCTTCTAGGAAAAAAAGGTGGGGAGTGGTTAGAGGCAGGTTGCTGAAAAGGTCATAGAGACCTTTTTGCTGCTGACGGGATAGAGAGCATGCCAGCATGGATAACGTCAAGAAGGAAATAACAGTCATTCAAGAGCATGTTGTGCAGTAATTTCAGCAGTTCCAGTTTTTCTTCTCATCATTTATTTAAGACTGTGTCTAGACAGTGCACTACCATTCACAGATGTTATGATGAATGCCCTGAAAAGCAAATATACTGGAATAATGTAAACACAGAAATCACCTGGAAGCCATAGAAATTCTGTTATGGTTTTGAAAACTCCTAAATTATCTTTGACAGGAAAAAGAGTCACAGTGACCACAGTATTTCATGGACAAACCTGCTCAGCATGCCCATCAACAACATGGCCAAATTCTGCAGCTAGGCTGTACAAGAGATTTACAGACTTGCTGATGTTGGATGAAAGAAGCTCATCAATAGCTCTCAAACCTAAGATATCCCTAGAAATGTTTTTTGAAGGCACAGAATTTTACTGAGAAAAAAATATTTAGTTACCAGTATGCCTCTTTTTTCCACATAAGAAGATTGTCTTGATTTTCAGAGGTTCTGAAACACCATGAAAATCATTATCACTCACAAAGTTTCTTGTGCAAAATAGGGACAATCATACCTAGCTAGTGACTTTTCAGCATTTAGCTGTGCAATGGGTCTGTGTGGCCAGGTTTTGGTAGTGGGAGGCAGGCTGTGGAGACGGCTTCTGCAAGAAGCTCCTTGAAGCTTCCCCTAGGTCCAATAGAGTCAATGCCAGCCAGCTCCAAGGACAGATGCACCGCTGGCCAAGGCTAACCCTATCAGCAAGGATGGTAATGCCTCTGTGATAACATATTTAAGAAGTGGTGGAAAAAACCCTAAACCTATGGCACATGCAGAGAGAGGGAGAGAGGAGTGAGACACCAAAGTCGGTGAAGAAGGAGGGGAAGGATGTGCTCCGGAGAGCAGAGTAGAGATTCCACTGAGTCGTGATGAAGACTGTGGTGAGGCAGACTAGCCCCGTGAAGCCCATGAAGGTTACCAATGGAGCAGATATCCACCTGCAGCCCCTTGATGACTCCACACTGGAGCAGGTGGATGCCTGGAGGAGGTTGTGACTCCATGAGAAACCCACACCAGAGCAGGTTTCTGGCAGGACCTGTGGACCCATGGAGATAGAAGCCCACACTGGAGCAGGTTTGCTGGCAAGACTTGTGACCTGTGGGAGACACACACTGGAGCAGTCTGTTCCTGAAGGACTGCACCCCATGGAAGGGACTCATGTTGAGGCAGTTCACGGAGAAGAGTTTCCCATGAAAGAGGCCCCACACTGGAGCAGGAAAAGAGTGAGAAGTCCTCCCCCTGAGGAAGAAGTAGTAGCAGAGATAACGTGTAATGAACTGACCGCTACTCCCATTCCACATCCATCTGCGCTGCTCAGTGGGAGGAGCCGGAGAAATTGGGAGTAAAATTAAGCCTGGGAAGAAGGGAGGAGTGGGGGGAAGGTGTTTTATAAGATTTGTTTTTATTTCTCATTACTCTTCTCTAATTTCTTTGGTAATAAATTAATTTACCCAAGTCAAGTCTCTTATCTGTGATGGTAATTGCTGCGTGATCTCCCTGTCCTTACCTTGACCCAGAAGCCTTTCATGATGTTTCCTCTCTCCCGTCCATCTAAAAAGGGGGAGTAATAGAGCAGCTATGGTGGGCACCTGGCCCACTACAGTCTTGACACAGCTGTTTCCATGTAGTACAGAACTAAAAAACCAAATTTTTGCAATTTCTTCTTGGTCTTGTCATTTGATATGTATGTGCACATATACATGCACAGGCATGTATATCAAAAAGGCCTTACTGAAGTAATTTTTCAATAACAATTCGATCTATTGGAGATTTTCTGCAGTATGGAACTGATGCTTGGAAAAAACAGGTGATCAACAGCAGGTCCTTTTCCAGTCTGACAAGACTGCCTGCGCATGCCATACGTATGGTCAAACTTTGCTCTAGCTGACACTCCACAACATCTACAGAGCCAAACAACTGCAGGATGCAATAAATGAGGGATAATGTCTACCTCATTATGCTTTCGTTTCTTTTTTTAGCACATCATTTTAAGAACAAGTAAAACATAACAACCACTTCCGTGTTCTTGTCTTTCTGTTAAAGGAATTTTCCTGCTAGACAAAATATTCTACTAGTAACTGTTGAGAAAAATGTTTTGGGGGTTCATTTTCCAACATTCTGAAGCAACTTAAAAGTAGGATGAGCGCATTGTTCTTTACAGATCCCATGACAAGACCTATGGCTCATATCCTCTCATGTCACGTTATATGATCTGATGCAGAAGCAGGTTCAGGGACATTCCCATAGAACTGAGTCACCCAAGTCTTATGACCCAAAGTGAGGGCCAGGGCTGCAACAGGACCTTTCCTTTTCAATCTTGTGTACAATTTTGAGACTATGTAAATCCCCAGGATGTTAGCCTGAAAAGCGGAAATGAAGAAAATGCAATGTCATACTGAAAACAGGAGGCAAAATTACATCCTGCAGAACTTTTCTGCATGCTTGAACAGTTCAGTGCTGGCCTAGCTAATTCAAGACTCCTGTTCAGCTTTAAAGCATGTGGCTTTATCCATTAAGAAAAAGAATGTTCCTTTCTCCCAAGGAATCCGTTTTAACTATGACTCGAGTTCTGCTAAAAATTAGCAATTTCTTGTTTAAAACAAAAGGTCTTATTGCAGCCCGAGTAGCCCTCATGTGGGAAGGGGAAAAAGCTTCCATCTTGAGTCAAAGATGATGAAGTCTTCCCAAGCAGAGTCTTGGTAAAACTCAGGAGTTTGATCAGATCCACCAAAAGGTTCACTTGTTTCCAGTCCTCCAGCATGGCAGCAGACAACCAAGGAAGCCTTGAGAAAATTTGCCTTAATATGGTTTGGATTGGAAAGCAGTTGGTACGAACTTATCCTGACACCACAGGTTGTTTTAAATTAACATCAAAAACAGGTTTGCATCCTGTGAACTGACCTTGTTCCAAATCAAAGGACATGGTATTCTAAGTGCATCCTGAATTGCTTTTGAGAACAAAGCTCCTACTGTAAATGCCAGCACGTTTAGAGCAGACACAACAGCAGGCAAGGCTATGTGAGTTATTGCAATTGGCTACAGATACTTACCTGAACCAGCACAGGTGATGAGCCCTTGTAGGGGTAGCAAGCAGGTGCCTTCTTCACCTGGGACTTTAGTGATTTTGTGACTAGGGATGGGAGAACGAGAGTCAGGAGCATTTGTATTTCATGTCTACTCTTTACCATGTTGGACCAAGTTTACCATAGATTTTTGCAGACTCACTGATTTCAATAAAGAGGATCCTAAAGCCTAGAACTGAATTAAGCCTTTACATATCTCAGTTTAAGTGACACTTCTTCCATCAGAAGTATTTCTTTAAAATATTAACCTGACTAAAACTTACCTAAAGAGCAGTAGAGTCCAACTTGTTCATATCCTTCACAGCAATCGGTAAGAGTGATGGTTTCCGGAACTTCAACAGTACGATACTGCATTTTATAGTACGTCCGGGGACACACCATCCAGGGTATCCATCCTCCACAGGAAGTGCTTTTCTCATAGGACTTTTGGTAGGCAACCATTCTAAACACATTTTTGGTCAGGTTATAGTTGCACAGATGGTACCCTAGCAAAGAGAGGCCTTTTTCTAGGTAGGAAAACAAAGAAAAGAAAAAACAGGAAAGGAAAGGATCAGCATTAACTTGTAACTCCAGAGCATAAGTTTTCTGCAGAAATACTGTCATGAGAAAGCAGTGACAGAACCAACGCAGACGAATGATTTCCAGGAAGGTTGATGTTAGGAAGAACATCACTTCAGAAAACGGACAGAAGATGGAATTAATAGTGACTGCTTGTCACTGGCATCACTTCAGTCATGAAAGAATGTAGATTGGCAGAAAATTCAAAGAGATCTCAGTGCCTTCAGGTGCGAAGTAGAAAAGGGGACATTAACTCAAGTAAGTATAAAGGAAATTAATATACATTAACAGAAATTAACAGTAGGGCAAAATAGGCACTTCCAGGGCACAGCCATCCAAGTATTTTAGATATCCACTGCAGGCTTATGCTGCCGAAGTGTTCATCTTTCTCCACTGACTACAAAGGGAACGAAGGCTGAGGGCAGATGAGTCACAGTAGATGTCTGGAATAAGACATCCTTCAGACATCACTCGAGGCTAAAACCAGGTACTCGTACATCATTGGGAAGGACTTTCAGGTATCTGACACAAGAGGTATTCCTGAAGCTCCTACGTCACCTACCTGCGTTTGTAACAGATCAGACGCTCTGAGAGCTGCAGTGGTTCATTAACTTCAGTATAAATAAAGCCATTGAAAAGGTCATTAACTACATAATTTCACACAGGTCTGGGAATGGGTCTCAGTTTCTGGAGTTCTGAAACCAGTCATGATGAGGAGTGAGCTTATTACATGCTTTACTTAAAAATTAAATATTTGAGAGAGGAAAAAATAGTACAACAACACAAAGAAACCCAAACAATAACAACAGCAACAAAACCAGATGGAGTTTAAGAATTAGTAGTAAGCAACCTACAGTCATGTCACAGACATCAGGCTGCCTCCTAACGAGATGTTATAGAAGCCAGAGGGGCTGAGTCACCCTGTGTCCCATTTGGAAAACAGATGGGATAGAATTAACATGCCTATATCATCTTTTAGACAAAGCAAAGGAAACATTAATAAGGCTAAATATGAATTAACTGCAGAGATTCAAGTATGGCAGGATTGTTATTCCTAAGAGCTCTGAGGGGACCAGAGACAATCAATAGACTGAAGCTAATATAGTATACACTACAGGCATACAATTAAAGTATTTACAGCTTACATTATTTGCACAACTTGTCTCCTGCCTGAAAAGATGAAATATATTAATACAGTTCAAGAAAAAAAGAATTGTAAAGTTCTTAGGAATCTTATGCTTTTATCATATTTATCTTTCCAGCTAAACAAAAGATGTACATGCAGTTTGAGTAGGACTGGTAAAAGAGCTTTGAACAGGATAATCCATTTGCAGTGCAGGAACAGTCCAGAAGAAAGCATGGGATAAATGTCAAATGCCACAATGAACTCCTCAAGCTGCCTCAACTAAGTCACCCAGAAGGTCTTGCTCCAGCCCTAGTCCTAGCTACTGCTCAAAAAATAACAGCCTGAAATACATCCCCTGCTTTAAATGTTTAAAAGACCATTAAGAAAAATGAATCTGCTTGGGAGAATTCCTAAACAGAGGCACAGACACCTCTCTTTGCACAAGGACACTTTGGAAGAGCAGAAGGAAGGAGAAGAGACTGAGACTGGCCATGGATCACCTCCAGTACAACTAACTTGCAGCTGACCAGACCCGGGGAGAGCACTGGGCCCCGGGGAGTCCAGCACTGCTCTGCCTAACCTATCTGTGCTTTCCTCCTGCAGTAAAAGGCAGAGTATGATGCTGGGGAGTGCTTCAGAGAACACATGTGAGAGAAGAGACCTGCCAGCAGGCTCCAGGGAGCCCTGTGCTGCTGCTTAGAGCAGCAGGTCAGCAGGACAATATTGAGAATGAGGGCATATCTGGAAATCGCATTCCTTGCTTCTTCCTCGTCTCCAGCCTCAAGGAGGGCACTTCTGTGTCCAGTCCCTGAAGCTAGCTCCAGAGACAGCAGCTGAAAGGCCTTTACGTCCTCCCTAAAAAGCATCAAGACTGTTCTTTGTCCTTAAGAAGAGAGTGAAAGGAGATGGTCACAAGGGGCAGGAAGGAAGACACCCAGGCTGCCTCAAGACAAGAGGCTGAAACTCACACCCTGCCTGACCCACGAAAGGGCCCCAGTGGCCAGGGTGGAGGTCTGGCCAGGACCATGAGAGCCTGTACCCAACTGTGGCACTAGGAAGCTGTGTAAGAGGGAACTGAAGTGAGCCGGAGAAAGTAAGGTGGCCTCCCTCTCCTGGTTGACTTTAGGATATCCCTAAAGAGGGACATCCCTAAAGAGGAAAAGAGAACAAATGTGGGTTCTGGAGCAGAAATCAGAGATCAAGCATTGCCTTTTATCCAATGCATTTGATTGACTACCACTTCACATCAGGCACAAGTAGCTTACAAGCAACAAGTAGCTGTCATCGCATTTTGTAAAGCATTCCTTTACCATATGTTAAGAGTGGTCCAAAAACACCTACCCTAGCAAATGCTTCTAGGAATGCAGGGATGGGAAATAAAAGAAAAAAAAAATCCTTTTTCAGTGTTTGTTGGTCTTTTTTTCATTAGTTTCATTCAGGGATCTGAATGGCTAAATACCCGAAGTGGAATGGAAAGAATATCTAAATCTGTTTGGATCTAGCCTTTACCTGGAGAAAGTGCACAAGTATCTCTTGGTGATCAGGGAAGGTGGGAGAAGTAGGAAAAATTTTATTCTATGAAAACGAGAAAAAGAAACTATTGTATTAAGGTTTCACACTGTCATGCTATAAAATTATGTTAGAGGAGGGTAAGGCAGACCAGGAAAAAGAGTTCAGCCTGGTTCCTCATCACTATGTTCTCTCCATTTCTCCAGAGGCCACATATTAGCGTGGCTAGAGCAAAGCAGAGACTAGAAGAGAAAAATCAAGTAAAGAGAGCACTGAAGATTCGTGTTGTCCATGCAGAGCTGAGGCAGCAGTGAGGACCTAGCACTGGAAAGCTAAAAATTCCAGAGTCAGCTGAGCTGGCTTAGGCTCTACAGCAATGTGCAACATAAATACAGGTATGAAACTGAGAATAAAATGGTGTAGAATTAGACACACTTTATAATTAGAAGCTACAGCTGTCAGAGCAGATATGAAATCATATTTCATACTTATACAGTGATACTAGGTATAGAATGAGCTAGTCAAAGCCAAAATAGAAGGTTTGAGGTATGGCTATGGTGGTACAAAAAGATACCCTTGCTGGAAGAGATTAGACTGAAGGTGATAGGGA